TTATGCTCAACGCTCATCTATTCAACAGGCACCACCTGTTGTTGTCCCACCAACTGATTATGCTAGTCGACATGATCTTATTATGAATAATGGTCATCCATATAATCCACATGGAAATCGTCAACAAACATCCTATAATCAATTGTTAATGATGATGAATAATGAGAATGTATATGCAACACGACATAATGGAATTTTAAATACAAATAATATGAATCGATATACAGGGGCAATGATTGAAAATGGTGGCTCAGTACGATCAAGAGCAACAAGTCAACCACCAGGATCGGTACGTGCTCCATTACATATGGATAATTATGATCCAAGTACTCAACAACCAAATGGTACTGAATCACAATATATGGCTCAACAATCATATCTTCCACAATTTATACCTGCAGCACCAAATCATTTTTTTGAAGCAACAACAACATTACCAAGAAAAAATACTCGTGGATTTAGAAGACGTTTCGAAAATCTTGATTGGGCACCTGAACAATATCTTGAAATGGTTTATTTTTTGAAGATAGACTTTATTTGAATTTTAATTATTTGGTATTTTTTTAGGCTATTGCTTGTTATGATTATGAAAGTACTCGCGATGATGAATTAACATTTCGTGAAGATACAATCATATTTGTTGTTGCAAAAAATGATGATGGTTGGTTTGAAGGAGTTATTGAACCGGGCATTCGAGGTTTATTTCCAGTAAGTCATGAAGTTCTTAGTAATTATTTTCTTAGTGACTCATTTTCTTCTTAGGGAAATTATGTCGAACCATTATGTGAATGATAACATTATGATTCTAGTCATATATATATATATGTGTGTATATATACATATAAAGCGTCTCATGTCATTTAATCTTTATTATGTTATCTATTTATATATGCTTCCAATCATGGTTGTCAGATTTCTGTTCACAATGCCGACTCGATCAATTTCTTGTTTCTTTTGTCAAGAAATAATCAAAATAACAGTGAATCTTTCTTTTTTTTGTGTTGTATTTCTTGATATGATCATTGTCTTGCTTGCTTATGTATACACGATAAAAAAAAATCTTTTTTTGTTTCTGAGCATGCTGTCTATCTTTGTTGTATAGTATCGTTAATAGCCAGATAGGTATGTGTATGGATTACAATAGTTCACCTTGTCTTGCCTTTTTTCTTTCGCTTTTTTATGTCATTTCTTCAAGAATAACGCTGTTTTTTTTTTCGTTATCCTCGATATATCTATGCGCATTAAACAATAATAAACCGAAATGAGATAGATTGTTGTCTATGCTACAGAGAAAATTAAAATAGACGAAAACTTAAAATACTCTTAAACAACAACAATAAACTTATCATCAATTTTGCCTACAACTATTTTGTATTGCCATGAATATTATTATATTATCTTTGAAACGTGTGTAATCTTAATTTACAAAAGAATAGAAACGACTTCAAATAGAAAAAATCACAAACTATAAAAATCAGTTAAAGTCACTAAGTAATCTCATACACAGGTTTTGGTTTTCACCAGCAACTTTTCGAACATTTTTAAAAATTTTCAATAACTATTTTATCATAGTATGGAAAAAAATAAAGGCACGAATAAAAACTAAGACTGATAGTAGAAAATCTAGCCAACGATGAGACATAACTCGTCTGATACTGTTGAAGTTTGTAACACACTACTAAGAAATGAATTTGATAAATTCAAATAGTCTTTCACTTTTCTGTTCGCATGATTATGGAGCACGAAATCATGCCGTTATTTAAGTATCATTTTCTTAAGAATGAATAGAGACAATGTTGAACATACTGTTGTTTAGGAAGATTTTAATTTCTCCTACAAGGAATCTTATTTTGCTCTAGATATTAATTTTCTCTATAACCTATATGTCGTTGTATCAAAATAGATGAAGCAAGATTTCTACGTCTTTTTTTAAGTACACTAGAGAGATTGAACAAACAAATGAATTTAAATGAAACGATGTAATCTTTCAAAAAAAAAAATGACGGCATACAAACTTTCTTGCATTGTGATTGAATAAAAAATGACGACAATACTGGTTTTCTATCGTTCAGAAACGATCATCTTCATTTCTATTTGACGGATCCGTTAATATTCATAGATAGTATAACTCTATGCTTTATTCTTTATTATACATTATAGTTAACTAGTTTGTTTACTATTCATATTAAGTAAACAAAGTTCTAAGGTTTGTTTCGTATAGTCAACTTGAAAATTTGTCTTGTTTGTGAAATTTTTCGAAAGTTTAGAAAGAATATATACATATATGTATACAGGTATGAATGTGTCATGAGTCATTTATATAACTTTATCATGTCTAGTTATCGACATTCTAGTTGATAAATACTAATAATAAGTTGAATTTTCAATATTATGAAGAAAAAAAATTTTAGATCATATTTTTATTGAATAAAGTGCTTACTTAAAAAAAAATACTTGATCAAAACTCGATTCATGATATTCCAATCGCAGTGTATATACACCTACAAAGGATAAAATTTACGCATGAACGATTTATTGATACAGTCACCTTTACGAATGATGAATTGATCATTTTATCCTTGTTGAGACCGAAGTGAAACATAAAATATTGTTGAAACGAAAGCGAGAGAAAAGAATAAGTAGAACGTGAAAGCTGTTAAACAAGGGTCAAATAAGCAAAAAAAAACAAAATTATTTAACCATTCATTTTAATTTTGAATTTCATATCATATAGATACAAAGTTTCTTTTTTCTGCATAAAATGCACGATAAACACGATGAAGGAGTAGAAAATGAAAAAAAAACTACTCCAGAAAAGCCAAAATTAAGTTTAATGAGTGGTATTGCATTATTAATTGGTTCAATTATTGGTTCGGGAATTTTTATTTCACCACGTGGTGTACTTCTTGGCACTGGTAAGTTCGAATATTTATTTTTATTATTTCTATTCATAAAAATTTATACACATTTCTTTCTTAGGTTCTTATGGTTTATCCGTTATTATATGGATTGTATGTGGAATAATTTGTGTTCCGGGATGTTTATGTTATGCTGAATTAGGTACAATGATTCATAGTTCTGGCGGAGATTATACATATATTAAAATGGCATTTGGTGATTGGGCAGGTAAAAAAAAACTTTCGATTAATTCTGCAAAAAGAATTTTTTTTTCGAATGTTTTTAGGTTTTTTACGAGTATGGAGTGAAATATGTTGTGTACGTCCAGCTATAATTGCTGTATGTGGTATAACAGCATCGGTTTATTTACTTCAACCTATTTATAGTCCATGTTCTCCACCTCATTTAGTTGTACTGCTACTAGCTTGTTTTTTTATTATGATGTTAACACTTCTCAATTTATTGTCAACTCGTGGATCAATTACATGGCAAAATGGAACATTTTATGCTAAAATTTTAGCGTTAGTTTTTGTTATTAGTCTTGGAATTTTTCAATTAATACGAGGTCAGTATGATGTATTTGCATCTCCATTTGCCAATACTCAAACCAGTATTAAAAAATTATCTATTGCACTTTATATTGGTTTATTTCCTTATTCGGGTTGGAATTATTTATCGAATGCTATTGAAGAATTAAAAAATCCAGCACGAAATTTTCCAATTGCAATTATGTCATCAATTATAGCTAGTACAATACTTTATGCACTTACTTATAGTGCATATTTTACATCATTATCACTTCAGGAAGTAATGTCATCTGATGCTGTTGCTGTTTCATTTGCAGAGAATATTTATCGACCACTTGGATTTATTATGCCCTTATTTGTATCAATATCAGCTCTTGGTGGTCTTAATGGACGTATGAAAATTGAAATAAATTTAATTAAATTATTCTAATTTTGTTTTTGAATTTCCTCCTTTTAGAAATCTTTTCAATCGTTCGTATGTTTTCTGTTGCTGGTCGTGATGGACTTTTACCCACAATATCTGCTTATCTTCATATTGATCGTTTAACACCTGTTATTCCATGTATTGTTGAAGGAGTACTTGGTAAAATTCATTATAAATTTATAAAAAGAAATCATTAATTATTAATTTTTTTCTTTTTTTTTGGGTAATCAAGGTGTTCTTTATGTACTGGTTGGTGATGCTGAGCGTCTCCTTGGTTATTTAAGTTTTAGTACTTGGCTCGTTTGTTTATGTGGTGCAATAAGTGTACTTATTTTTCGTCGTACAATGCCTGATGTTCCTCGTCCATTTAATGCTGGTGTTATTGCTCCTATTGTATTCATTGTTCCAATGACTCTTCTCACTCTCGTTAATATGATATATAATCCACTTGATATCTTAGCTGGAATTATTATTCTTCTTTCTGGTTTACCTATCTATTGGGTATTTGTTCTTTATCGACCTAAATCAATTGATAAATTTAGCCAATCGATTGCTATTTATTTACAAAAATTATTTCTTGTTGTACCAGATAATAATAAACAACATGATTAAATTTCGAATAACAATAACAATACATCGATTATTTTATGGCTTTTTAGTTAAAATAAAAAATAAATAGGAATAGCAATCTCCGACATATATAGCAAATATAATTGAACTACTTAAGACAACGACAACTATAAAGAATTAAAGAAGAATTAGAAAAAAGAAAGAAAGAAAAAAAATCACTGATATGATTTATTCTATGTCTTTATCGGTGAACTAATTTTGGATAAACGAGAAAGAAAAAACCCGTACGCGCTTTGTCTTTATCTTCTTTTATTTCGAAGCTTGCCTACGTCGTGATAAACGAAGAAAATGTCGAAGTGAATGAGGGTAAACTTTCTATAATTGAATCAGAGAAGAAAAAATAAATTCTTCTCTCGTCATTCTCGTAAATTTCTTTACCTTTTCTACATTCATGTTAGTTTATAATTTACTTTCAGCCGAAACTAAATAAGAAAATACTTCGGAAAAACAATACGTAAAACTCGTTTTTTTGTTTTTGCCGATTGCTGTTGATCATTATCTGCATCATTTATTTTGAATACATGGAGGCTATTAAAATTCCTAATTCAGCACTACTTGATGTTTTTGGCCAGCCGGTTGGTATTAATACTCATGATCTTCGACATTCGTCTATAACACCAAATTCATCAAACAATAATTTGGACGGTCATAAAAAATCTATATCAGCTGCTAGTTCTGTGTCAAAAGTAGATATTGGTGAACGATTAACTGTTATAGGTGAGTAAATTATTTTTCTAGAATCAATATTAATAAATATTAAGAGTAAAAGATACGAGTATTTAACTCTCTAAATAATAATAAAATCATTAACCAGATTTTTTTTGGCTGCTATTATTAACATTTAATTTAAATATTAATTAATCTTGATTAGATTTTTGAATATTTAGTATTATTTAATCGATGGGTCAAAAGTGTTAAGTGAAAATATTTGTTTATTTTTGGCTATCTTGAAAGTGTTTCCTAAAAACCAAAAGCTATGCGTTATGGCCAGTGTTTTATGTTCTTTGTGAACTTGGCTTACGAGGAAATCAGCCTAGATGATAACTCGCATTTGAGATTAGACACTAGTCAGATTGTAGAACCTGGTGAAGCTAGAATAAACCTAGAACAAATTCTTTCCCATGTGCTACCCTTTTCAAGTTATGGTCAAGATATTGAAATTTTCACTAGTACGGTATTTTTAAAAAATTCGAATAAATGAATTTTGCTTTAAAGCTTCGTTCGTAGACAACTCTTGAAATCATTAGAATCTTCTAAAAATCACAGGTAAAAAGACTAGTCTCTTTTCAAAACGTCAAATCTACTCAAATCCGTGATATTTCACGGAAACAGCAGAAAATCTAGATTTTTTTAAATTTAATATCTGGAGAAGAGGCTACTGCTATTGGCTGACATTTTTAGTAGATCGAAATACCCTCAAGAGTTGTCTATGGACAAAGTCGTAGGTCAAAACTCATTTGTTCATTTTTTTTTCATAAATATCATGCTACAAGTAAAAAATCTACGGTAACAGCGATAACTCCAAAAAGGGCAGCGCATGGAGAGAAGTCCTTTTAGATTTTTTCTAATCTCAACAGACCCTAAGTAATGACTGGAATCTCATCTTAAATGCAAGGTAGCACTTCAGATGGTTCCTTCATTAGAAATTTTTCTGAAACCCACAAGATGATTAGTAGTTTGGACAGAATAGTTTTCTGAACGCTTTTGTACTTTCATTATTGCAACCCGCAAATTAATGTTAATATCCTTATTATTATGTTAACTTGTAGAGCAAAAGCTATCATACAAAATGTGCTCTTGGAGAGTTCTCTACCGGTCAGTTCAACTTTTGTTTCTTTCTCCTTTTCTCAGTTTTCAAAATCGACTTTTTGACCAGAAGGTGTTTTATATAAAAAGAATATCTTGGCAAAATGCCTATAGTTTCACTTAGGTAAAGGTTACAGTTGAGTAAGAAAACATCCACTTCATAAAAAACCGACTCCTATACTTTTTTGTATACTTTTGACTAGAAACTTATAGAAGTTAGGAAAATCCTATTTGCCCACTATTCTATTCAACCTAATTTTTTAGGCTATGACAAAATTCCTTTACTAGTCGGGAAAAGATAGACACAATGTTTCTAATCATATATTCAGAGAGAACACATTAAAATGAGCAATCATTTGCACTAAAAAGTTCAGCTCACACTTCTGATTCAAACTAATGTTTGGGTCTTTCAAAGAATAACTCAGTAGTCTCGAACAAAAATTCAGAAAAAATTGCTATGAGTAAATTCTGAGGGTGCACAATATACTGGTCCTAATCCATAATTTTTGACTTCTCAGAAACAGGTTTTAATAATCAAAGAAATACACAAATGTTTTATCTCAAAATTTGTAATTCATGCGCTATTTTGTTAAGATAAAATAGGAATTTAATATTGTTTTTATTTTTAAAAATCTCTTAGGAGAAACTCCACTTCATATTGCTATTGTTTATAATGATATAAATTCAGTAAAACTTTTAATAAAACATGGTGTTGATGTTAATAAACGTGTCGTTGGAGATTTTAATACTCCGGAACAAAATCGAAAAAATGATGAACATAAAAAAGGAAGAGGAAAAAAATTTCTACTACCTTGTCATCGTGATAAAACATCACAAAAACAATTTAATCCACAGAATAGTAGTCCTGAAAGTAAAATTCATATTGATCTTTTTTCTTTTTCAAATATGAAAACTATTCTCTTAAGGTTATGCCTATTATGGTGAATACCCATTAGCTTTTGCTGCTGCATTTGGTCATTCAGAAATATATGATTATTTGATTCAACATGGTGCCGATCCAAATATGCAAGACTCTTATGGAAATACAATTCTACACATGCTTGTCATTCGAGATCGAATGGTGAGCTTTTATAAAGAAAAATTTTTAATGATATATTTTATTCATTATCTAGGATATGTTTAAACATGCTGTTCGACATCCATCAAAAAAAGCACGTACAGATATTCGAAATAATTCAGATTTAACTCCATTAACATTAGCTGCTAAACTTGGTCGTAAAGAACTTTTCCTTGAATGTCTCGAATTAGCTCAAGTGGTAAAAATTATTTAATCATAATTTTTCTTGTCATAGTTTAACATATTCGTTTTGTTTTTGATTAATAAGAGAAACAAAGCAAGCAAATTAGAGATTTCTTTTAAAGAGTAAAAAGTATTAAAAACATCTCTAATCGAGAAATTTTTTACCATTAGATTTAAAATTCATAGTCATAAGTAATACATTTAAATCTCTGAATGAAAGTACAAGTGTTGATTCCAGCTATGAATTAGAAGTTTTATTGAGGTATTACAATAACAATCTATCTGTTTTCTTGAACAAAAATACATAGCTCACCGATTAAAGTTGTCGTTATTTTTTAAGAAGTGAGAAGAGCTAAGAATTCGGCAGAAGTGTTTTCATTGTCGGACTGTTAGAAGTGGTAACCAGATTCAAAATCTAGTTTGCATCCAAAATTACTATAAAGCGGTTAAAAATTGACAGAAAATCGAAAATTTGAAGGGAAAGGTGAGCCGCTATCATCCCCTAAATGAGGAACGTACCATCGACAATGTTGTTCTTGGAAAATATTTCAGACATAAATAAAAAAGACTATCTTAAATTGAGTTGTAAAATCTAATTTAATTGTCTTCAGATGATGATAGCAATGGTTCATATATACGAACATGTCAATATACAAAAGACAGTTTACAAAAACATTCTCAAAGCTTTCTTCTGACTCATTTTATGCTTCATTTAAGTTTTCTAAAACGATTATTTTACCTTGAGATAAGATTTGCAAAAAGAAAACATCTGTGACAATCATTATTATAAATAGTAACTCTATATTAGGAAAATTGATATGCTGTTCTTTCATTATTTGTTAAATGTGATATCTATTTATTAAAACCAATGTTCAATATACAATTCTTTTGCGTGTTTTAATTGTGAATATAAATTATGATTTTTGTTCAGTGAAGAAAAAGTTAATCTATTCGATTAAATTATGTGGACATATTCAATCCAACATATGTCATATGATTTCTATGATAACTCATACATCACAGCATTCTGACAAACTGCATGACGGACGTTTTTTTTTTTAACGATTCGTTCTCTGAGATTCTGACAGATGTTGTGATGTGTGAATAATTTTACTCAAATTTTATAATATTTCTAAAAAATAAGAATATTCTACAAAATCTTTTGAATTTTTATTTTTCTAGGAAATTTGGCGTTATTCTAATATTAAATGTTGTACATATCCTCTTCGTGGTATTGATACAATAACGGATGGTGGTCAAATAGGTTTGTTTGAGTTTTTTTTATATCATTATTCTTTTTATTTTACGAATATTAAAGATTGGAATTCTTCATTAATGTCGATTGTTAGTGGTAAAACTGAAGATCATTTAGATATGCTTGATAATATGGTCATTGAACGTTTATTAAATGATAAATGGTCATCATTTGCTCGAGTAAATAAATATAATAACAACTAAAGATTTCTATTTTCTTTTTAATTTAAGGTTAACTTTGTTCGACAATTAGTTTTGCTTTGCTTGCATTTATTATTTTTAACAACGGCCGTATTTTTACGTAATCCAAGAGATAATCAATCGTTGGTAAAAAGAATTCTATGTCATATAGCTGAAGCATGTGTATTAGGTGGTTGTATATTAAGTGTATTTGCATTACAAGCGAAAGAAATTTATTTACAAGGATTTAATTATTATTTACAAAATTTAGTAAATACAAAATATTTTACTATATTTATTTTACAACTAAAGCCATTTTGCCTTTATAGAAAAGTTATCCAGAAAAAATTCTTTATCAATGTTCATGTATACTAATAATTCTCGCAGTACCATGTCGTATATTATATTTAGTAACAAATAATGTGACATTTGGTTATGTTGAAGATGGTCTTGTATCACTTGCTATACCTGGAACATTTTTGTTTTTTCTTTTTTTTGGACGAATTTATGAATTAACAGGTGCATTTATCGTTATGATATTTGAGATGATTACAGGAGATATTGCTACATTTGGTGTCATCTATATCATTGTTATCACAGCTTTTGGTCAAGGTAGAAAAGAAAATATTAATGAATTTCATTTCTTGCGTAATTTTTTTTTTGTGTTTAGTTTTTTATTTATTATTTCGTGATACTACTGAAGGTGGAAATTGTGAACGCGCCGTAACAAATGATACATGCGGAAATGATAATTTATGTTCCTTTCAAAATTTTGAAGCTTGGATGACTATGGTTCATTTTACATTGGGAGAATTCGATGTAAGAGTTATTATTTCATTTATTAATTTAATCTATCTTTTCTTTAGTTTTCTCGTTTTGATTTAACACATTATTCATATTTAGTAAAAATTTTGTTTATTGTTTTTATGATATTAACACCTATACTTTTATTAAACATGTTAATTGCTTCTATGGGTAATACATATCAACGTGTTATTGCAATCAGTGAAAAAGAACGCATTCGACAGGTTTGAAAATATTTTAAGAGCATACTCCTTTTCTCACAAATCGATCTTGAGCTAGGTAGATGTAACTTGCATGAAGGTTTCAAGATATATTGAAGCTGTAGCGAGGAGGCTATGGAAAATTGTTCAGCCTTATACTCTGACGTTTTCGACCGATATTCAACAAATAAAGGTGAAAATAGCTCATTTGGTAACCAAAAGCTGTATATGTGCCTTCATTCTATATACTTAATTATCTTTTTGTTTAAAAGAACATGTCGGGATGCAGAGCATGACAGAACCCTTTTTTTAATGTTTACTTTTGAAGCGTAGAATGGTTGAATGTTTCACAAAATGGTACCTTAAATTATATAAGTACTCTTCTATATAATAGTAATAAAGCCTAATTTCAAAAAAGGTACTCTGTCATGCCTTACATCTTGACATGCTCGTTCAAACAAAAAGACATAAAATATGTAAGATGGAGACTTAAATAGAATTCTAGGTTACGCGATCAAAAAAGTTTAAACAAAGAAAAAATGAAGAAACATGTCTCAGTTTTTCTGAACATAATATATTTTTCAAGTAAATGATGACAGAAATCATCTAACACTGGCAAAAAAAAGGAAATGCTGAATAAAAAAATCATATCATTTATGAAAATCACACATTGGCTTACCTGCTCGTATATTTATCTTCGGTTTAATTTTTTTGAGAAAGGGATGGATGTGGTCTTAAATAATTTTTCTTTTTATTTTATTGACACTATTGTTCTTTGTAAGTGGGCTCAGCTTGTTTTAACAATTGAAAGATCTTGTCCTGCAAAACAACGATTTGATTATCAAGGTGTATATGCCATTGGTGGTGATGATAAACGTGATTTAATGGTTATAAAACGAGCAACGAAAAGTAAAGCAGCTCAAAGAAAAGGAGCAATCGGTAATTGGAAGGTAAATCTTTAAAAATAAAAGAAAAATAATAACATGAGTTGTTCAAGGTTGAAAGAATAAAATCATAATATATATCTTATTCATCAAATAACATTTATGACATGGTTTAAGTGACATTTTCTTTTAGCGAGTTGGAAAAATTGTTCTTTATTTACTAAAAGAACAACAAACAACAGCTGATCGTGTTCGTCTCCGTCGTGTATCCCATCAATCTGTTGTATTCAAACCAAAAGCACAATTTGATAATATGCTTGAAACTATTGCATGGGAACGTGATATGGATTTTTCTGGAGCAAAAGGATTATCATCATCAAATCAAAATATTAATTTAGGTTCAACACAAAATACAGCAGATTTAAATTCATGTGCATCACACCCGCCTTCGCCTCCGCCTCCACAATTTGTGACTGGAGAATTTCCACCACCATCATCAATACCACAACAATTAACTGGTGATAGAAAACCAATGCGTCGTTCAGAATTATCTGAACTTCGTTCTCGTCCATCATTTGTTGATTATGAAGATTTAGAAGTATTTCGTCATAGGCGATCATTAGCAAGAGCATCAAATGTCTGGCATCCTCAACCAACTCGACGAACTTCTATGATGCCTGTTGATGCTGATGGTTATAAAGATTTGCTTCTCGATGTTGATAATAGTCACCAAGAATATAATAAAAAAAACAAATTAAATCAATTTATGTCTCATGGTACCTCGAATATGAGTATTAAATCAAAACTAAGTGAAACGACTATTTGTTAGTTGATCCTATTTTTTCGAAGCACATATTATTATTTTTCTTTCTTTGTTTCTATGTTCACATTTCTTTTTTTTTTAATGTATCAAAACAAAATGAAAATCACGTTTAGATAATAATAAAGCATATAAATGAAATAAAGAATTTTTTTGTTGTTGTTTTCATTTGTTGGTCTTTACAATAAAACAAAAAAACATGATTACATAATTACAAATAGATTATTAAATATATCTTGTATCAATATCAAAGAATATACACTTTTTAAAAGTTAAAATATAGGTTATTTCTATTGCGATTGATTACTACCTTTAAAACCTTGAACATAACCTGTCGTATCAACATCATCAGAACGACCTTCTTTACCTTTACCATGACCTTCTTCATCAAAACGTTCTTTATGTATACCCCTACAAAAAATATATATATCATTACGAAAAAAGAAATTAGTCAATAATTATCATATAATTACGTATATTGTGATGTATCTGTCATTCGATCTGTAACTTCTTTATTTGCAGTTTCAGTTACATTTGTAAGGCTAGGACCTTCATTTTCATTGATTTTAGCTAAGATTTCATCAGAACTAACACCTTTTGATTCAGCAATACGATCAATTAATAATTTAAAACCTTTGATTTCAAATGTTTTCCTTAATAGATAAAGAATATTACTTTAAATTCATATTTGTTATTAATGTTTACTTACGTTCCTTTTGGATAATGAGGACAACCAGCTTCAGGTGTTCCCGTCGTTAATTTTCCGAGTACACGTGCAATATCATTATCCAATAATTGCGATGTATATTTGGAATTAATTAATGAACAATCTTTCATCATTTTTTGTATTCCGGCTGACCCTATTCGAAGTTCACTATGATCATTTAATTGTGCATGACTCTTGCCAAATTTAGAATATTTATCAAAGGCCTGTCGTAAGCCTGATGATACAGAAGATTTTGATGCCATTATAATATGTAGATATGTCTATCAACGCGGTTAGAAATGTGTGTGAGTAAAAAAGGCAGAATAAAGAATATGTTATAGGACTGCCGTCTCTCTCTATATATAATTAGAATGGGGCTTTTTCTCGCGTTTTTTTTCTTTCCTGCTTTCCGAAAAAAAAGACTCGCCACTAATGTCCTAGGCAGTCGCTTGTTGATGCCTGCGTTATAGATCATTTCTTCTCTTCTTTTTCTTCTACGTCGTCGCTTCTGTCGCACATTCTTATCTATTGCTGTCGTTTTTTTATCCTCGTCTTGTATCGTCATTTCAGAGTTAGTCAAAGAAAAAAAAATAGAGAAAAAGAGGGAGCGAGAGCTATGAAGAACAAAGGAAAAAAAGATATATAGTTTCAGTCCTATAGCTAACATGCAAAGCTGAAACAAGTTGATGAATGTTCATGACATGAAAAGCTAATCTATTATTGTGTTTTAACAAGATATTACTGGATCATTTTCATGGCACTAGATATAGATTCGTTTTTTTTTGTTCACTTATTGAATTCACATACTTTTTTCTCGAATTCATAAAAATAAATGATGTCAATCAACAGAAACATTGAACTGAAGAACTGCAAAAGAAGTTAATGAACTAAACTATTTAAAATTGAAAGCGGAAACGATAATATTAATAATCAGGAGCATTCTCATTGGTGTACATGCGCCTTAAATAGAGCATTCAGATCATATATATAACAAGTAATGATAGAAAAACATTAAAAAAAAAGAATAATTAATAAAGCTTATTTGATAAAGAAATCACTAATAATAAAAGTTACAGTTCATTGAAAAGAGTGAATAATAATATAATCTACCTTTAAGAAAAATATAAAAAGAAAAAACAACACTTCTAAATTCAATGAATTTGTGTAATTTTCATTAAAATCAGTTAGTCGAGTAACTTAAAAAAACATGAAATTATTAAATATGAATTAAAATGAAGCTTTCATATAATTAAAATAAAACACAACTTATTTTATTCTCGTGTTCAACACGAGATGATTCATTATACAATAATACTTGAGTACTCACTATACCAAAATCTTATAAAACCATAACAATAATTCATATTCATCAAATATTTTATAAATGAAAACATTCTATAAACTCTTTGTTTCTCTTTGTAACATGAAGAAAAAGTAAAAATTAGACACAATTTTTTTTAACTTTCAGTACGAACGTGTGAAATACCAAGAGGAAAAAACAAAAAGCAAGACAAAGATTACAATCAGTGTATTTTACAGACAAAATGGGAATAGAAAAAAAATGTTTATCACATTTTATAAGCAATAATGAATAATTTTTTGTCTAAATGAGAAAATATATTAGATTTTTGACTCTTCTTTGCATTATTATATGAAAATGAAAAAAAATGAAAAGTACGAATAACATAAGAGATAATTCCATCGAGAAATCGAATCATTATTTTTTCCGATTATGAATTTTTTATTGTTTGTCAAATCCAATCGAGTAAAGCATCGATTCTTTTTTCATCACTTACGTGTATTTCGCGCATACACACAAGTGTTCTTGTTCGATTAGAAAAGATTTTTATTCAATCTTATAATTTCTCTCTAGTGCGCAGCCTTCGATTCCTCCATCTATGGTCGTTTTTTCGTTTACATTTCGACTTTTATGCATTATTTTTTGCATTATTGCTGTAGTAAGTAAACATGTTTGAAATTTGAATAGTAGCTATTGAATATAATATTTTTCATGTCGAATTTTTATTCGATTAATGATTGACTGTATGATGAATGATTATTTTCATTTTTAGACATCATACAAAATCAGTTACCATCCTGCAGTCGGAAATCCCAATGAACGGGCTGTAACTGAATGGCGTTTTCGTCGTCATTATTTACTTCATTATCCTAGTTTTGCATCAAGTTATGACAAAGTAAGTTTAGTTTTATTCATTTTTGTATGTGATTGACATTCTTGATTTTTGTTGTTCTCTTTTCAAAGAAATATTCGACAAATGATGAAGCACATGATTTTAATCAAGCTGATGAAAGCAAATTCAATGAAAAAAAATTTATTATTCCTCAGTTGATGTATCCTCGGAATAAAAGAGTAAAATATTGACTGAATATTATTTGAAATACTTGACGAGAAGTATAACAATAAAGAAGAAAAAAATATAATATATCATTTTTATTTGTTGTTTTGTGTTTTTTTTCGCTTCAAAATTTATATAGACAACTAAACGTTCGAATTGAGTACATCTATCATAAAAGGAAAAAAAACGAAATAAAAAAAACTGCTTAACAATGACGATGGAGAAATGGTAGAAAAGAGTAAAAAAAAAGAAGAGAAAAAAAATTGTAAAGTGAAGAGTTTCACATTGATGGCAGTGTTTACCGGCAACTATTGCAGCCAGCAGGCGAACAGGCATGGCAATCCCATCTATATGTATATTGTGTTGAAGAAAGAAAAGTAAAGTTTAGTGCTTTCAAGTGAGTGTTGACAACCAGCAAAAGAGAAGAAGAGAGAGAGACTGAGGGAGAAAAAGTTTGTATGTATGTAAGAAACTAAGCTCAAAGAAAAAAATGTGATGATTCTCATAAAAATAGTGAGTTGAAAAGGATACAATGTCAAATCCTGCACAAGTTTTATCGAGACATCGAAAAACACCATTACCACCTGTAGTACCAACGCGACAAACTCTTATATCATGGACACATGGTAATAAAAATGGTAGGTGTATATGTGTGTGTGGTTGAATTTGTATGTTAAATGTGATTAACTACTCTTAACAACAGGAAGTTCTTTGTCATCTGATGTTTAATCGCAAATAGACATGATAAAACGAAATGAGCTGAAGAGACAAAATATACGTTGTTCGTAATTTTATGTTGTTGTGTAGTCTACATATAGTAAAAATAAAGTATATGATGATAAGTAAAAGGTCAAACACCTGTGAATAAAATATTTTTTTTTCTTTTCTCTTGTTACAAAAACGTTTATTCGTAAGAATTCTCAACAGATTTTTTTTCTTTTCCTTACTCAAGTATACGTATATTTCAATAATGTATTTAAATATGTATTAACAAATCAGATAACAAAAAACTTTCATATGATACATGAAAGCTTGTCTTGTAACGGTTAATATTATTGCATTCCATTTTTCCGGAGAATTATGGATTATAAATGAAACAATCTGTTGAACTTTGTCGTTTTGAAATGTATATATAGAGAGATTTGCCATATCAATATGGCTTCTTATTTGTTAATATACTGGTCTCACTACAAGCATCAATATGCATTAAATGTCTTTTTTCATTACTAATTTCTAATCATCCATAATAGTTCCTTTGGATGGATTTTCGTTAGAATAATAGATAAGAAATAAAAACCACTGTGCATACTAATATAAAGGTCGATGGCAAATAGAATGGCATCATTATTATCTATAGCGAAAATGCCAATGTGACAACTACTAAGACTGTATGATGCCATTTTAACGTAAAACATAAATCTCATTTAGGATATAGTAAACTAGGGATCTTTTTTGTCATGCACTTATTCTTCTCTCATTGAGTAGTCTCCGTGTATCGATCTACGCAAGTTTATTTTTCATTTCATGTTCGTTAGACCATTGTATTCATTGTTTCTCATTTTCTCATATATTGCTCGGTGTCGAGACGGAGTACTAATCATTAATTCGGATCTGGACGTATCATTGATGTATCTGTTTCGCCCACTTAGTTTGTCTTCTCTTTTTTGTCTTTTGCATTCGCTTGCACGATTCTCCGTTCTCTTTTCACATCCATCCTCAATAATTACAACAAAAAATAAGAGAACGATGACGTCGATGACGAAAAGGAGAGTGAAGAACGATAGAATGCACACAAACTACGGTATGCATTCTATATAAAAGAGCGCTCTCCTTGGCGGTAGCGACGCGGAGACCCACACGCACACACTAAATCCGATCAGTGCTACTATTTACTCCATACAAACAAGTTGATTAAAAGTGAAGATAGTATTAATTATAATAATAAT